GAATCTTCCACATGGACTTGTTTAGCATCTTTAAACGAATGTCACCCATACCAACAATATCTAAAGGTTCTTCATTAACTAGATAAACCTTTTCATAATTTCCAACAACATAATTTTCTAACATGTCGTGGTGAGTAGTGGTATAAAAGATGATCTAGACTGTAAAACCTAAGAGTCAATTAGGTTATCGATAGGCAATAATAGTGCATCAATCATCTCTTAAGTGACAGCATTTGCAACATCCCCTTTGTTTTATTCTTTTTTCTTTTAGGCCCAACATTGTTTCTTTGTGTAGCCTATTTTTCTATAATTCCAGCAATCCATATTCTATCCAACTTTGGTATTACTTCTTCCATTTTTAGACTTTGATTTTTTTTTTTGTTTTGGTTAAAATTTTTGTTATTTATTCTTTATTCTCGAGATTTAAGGTAGAACCTGATGTAGTCGCTTCACCGGAGTCATTTCTTTGAATTTTTTAGTGAGAATTTGACTTTTGAAATCATTGAATTTCAATTTTGTAGAACCAGTAAAATTACTAACCATTACCCTTATGGGCTCCCAGTTGCTTATTAGGGAAGCTAGAAGAATTAGGACATGAATCTCATGAGCAAAATCAATTTCAATGGAAGTCAATTGATTGACAGTTGTGTTGAACTCATTGAGATGCAATGCCATTGAAGCATTTTTAGCCATATTCAAATTGAATAGTATTTTCATGAGAAAAACCTTATTATTTACAATAGGTTTTTTATACATATTATAAAACACCTTTATCAAATTTGCAGTCAATGTCTCCTTCATTACATTGTGAGCTACATTCTTTGACAATGTTAGCCAAATGACTCATAATACCTATTTGTCAAAGAGCTTCTAATATTTGTCTAACATATTTTTTAGTTTTGCACCCAAAAGTGGTAAATTCATATTTCTACTAAATAGATAATCTTTTATTTGCATTCTCCAAAAAGAATAGTCCGTTCCATCAAATTTATTGATTTTATGTGCTATACCTTATTTGCTAGCCATCACTTTCAATCATGAAATTATGAACTGTACAATGTATGAAATATAGTACCTTATGAATAATAATCCCACTAAATAGGTTCCCAAAAAAAATTTGAAAGATTATAATTGATCCTACTTAAAATCCAATCTCCTTAGATAGAACTCCTAGAATCATATTTATCCACACTATTAAAATTTTGTATACGTAAATAGTACTGTAGATGTGAATAGTATTGTTTACATGAATAATGCCGTATACTTGAATAGTGCCACATGTGACAAAACTTTAGCCTTATAGCTCTGATAGTAGTTGTTAGGGATTAAGTGTCTGTCTCACAAACCAAAAGCAATAATATACACAAAGATAATTACATTTCAAATAATGATTTTTGTTGGATAAATTCTTTTCATGGAGATGAGGCTATCAAAACTTGGAAACTCGAGAAATGCCTTGAGTTATCATTTGCAGGTGATGAAGAAATCATTATTGACGAGTTGGTGGAAATGGAATGAAGAGAGAGACCTTGATGATAATTAACATTTAATGTTTTATGGTTGTTTCACGGTGGTTTTGCTCTATATGATGGTATGGTTGGTTTTTGTCATTGAGTTTCACAAGTTGATTGTTGTTCATAACTCATTTCTGGTAAGCATGATTTATCTTTATTATTCATAATTGGCTTTTGGAGGTACTGGATGAAACTCTAGCAGTGTGGTTGTTATCATAGGCATTCTTAATTTTGGTTTGCTATTTGTAATTTTGCTCACACTTGGATGTACTAACTAGCTGGCATTTATGTGATCTTTGTTGCTTAATTTGGTTTGTAAGAGATCTTTGGATTCTTTTATTACTAGCTATTGCGAGCTTCATAACCCTTAAGTTGGTTAATAAATTATGGCTTAGCGCATAAAAGAAAGTCTATCATTCGTTTCAAGTGTGTGGTAAAAACTTGGTGCCATCTATTCAAAATTCCTAGTTTTGTTTCTTAGCATCCTAGTATCAGCAAAAAGAATCCACATCTTCTTATTCATCATGTTAATGATGACCATGAAAAAGTTCTTATGCACTTATTTTTTAATCAAACCTTATTTCTTACCACGATCTGTATAAAAATTGCCTTATCATTTAACCGAATTCCATGGTTTCAACTTTTTTATGGATAATTGATGAGTTTGTTTATGTGATGATATCAATTCTTGCACAACTCTATGGAATCCCTTCACCAAAGAATTAATGATTATTCCTAAATGTGACCAAAAGATTCCATCTAAGGTAGGCACCTACAGACAATCTTTGGTTTATATTGGATCCTTTGTCCAATGATTACAAGGTGATTTATATTCGGGTTTACTATGATTTGGAGAAGAAAATGCAAAAATCCTATCACTTTGTAATTTATAGGATGAGCATTAATTCCTTGAGGGTATTCAAAATGAAAAAAGTTGATCTCATTGAAGCTGAAGGTAGAGTAATTGTCCTAGTCCTTAACTCTTGCAACGTTTGTGTAATGGTATGTATTATTAGGTGGTTTGGCAAGATTGGGATGATCAATCTTTGGTCCTTGCATTTCACTTAGGTAATGAAGTTTTCCAAGTCATACTAGAGAGAGCCTGAGTGTATTGCTTGACAATCATATCTTCTTGTGGATTCCTAATCAATCAATATAATGGGAAAAAGTAATGACATTTGAATATTGAAAGATGAATGACTCTAGACCAAACTACTGAGGATTGGACCTGTTGCAAGAGTTCAAACCATGTTTGCATTTTGGAAGAATGGCTAAGTATTCAATCAAATTGAATATTTGCTTTGGTTTTTACAATGTTTAAGTAAAGGACATGTTTTGCATGGTTAGTTAAAGAGGGATATTTTGCACACATAAGCTTGTGATTTTGAAAGTAATTTTTGTTCTTTCACTTACTTTATTTAAACATGGTATATATTTATGAATAGGGTGGGTATTTTTAGAATTTTCAATTTATCACTCAACTGTCCTAAATTATGTAGAATATAGCTGAAAGTGCTTGGTTGTTTCCAGTCAAAGGCAAGTTTCTTCTCTGTGCTTTTATGCAATAAAATTATTATATAGACTAATTTTACCACCAATGTTTTATAGTATTTTTCTCATCAACCAAACATTGTGAAAAAATCCATTTGATTGAGGGAAATACAAGAATCAAGATGCCAAGACATCATATCATTAAAGCCATAAGGGCAAAAAATATAATAGTAGTAGTAAATGTAATATATTAGCTCATAATGTTTTTTTATTTATGAGTAGTGGATTGTTCAAAATGTCAAAAAAAAAAAAAATTGATTCCTCATTGAACATGTTCAACAAATTGTTGGTTAGATGTTGTCAATTACTTACTGTATCAAAATTTACAGGTGAGGTGTTAACAATTGAGAACTATGTGTATTTCATATATGTTGATTGATAAACATATGGGAATTTATTTGGCTTTTGGATTATTCTTGCTTTTGTAGAGAAAAAAAAAAGCCAAAATATATTCGGGTTACTAATATTCAGATTTTCAAACAGAAAACTTGTTTCTTGTTTTCTTCTAATCACACCAAATTGAACAAAATCAAGTTGACTTATTTGTCAAGTTGTTTTGGTACTTAGTTACTTGTTAAAAGTCTAAAAAAGGACAAAAAAGATAAAAATATTTTTTTTACTATCCCTTAAATCAGTTAGTATGTCGTTGGAGTTAGCACTTGGAAGTTGCGAGTTCAAGAGAATTTAGATGTATAATGTCATCTTTAGCCTGGTATGTAATAAGGCAACAGATTTAAGGGTAGATTAAGAACTTAAAAAAAAGGAAAAAAAATTTGGAATTATCCATAAATAAAATACTCATATTTTTTGTTCCATATAAATGGGAGTTCCATTATTAAGTATTCTACTTTATAAAAAGGTTAATGTAATGATATATAAAAGGAAAAAAATGAAAATGCTTACATATATTGAGAAATAGGGTTTTAGATTAGAATTTTAAAAAGAACTTAAAGCTTAAATGAAATGGTAACTCATTGCCAATTTCCACACTCTTATCTCACCACTTATTTCTTAAGATCATCTCAACTATGGCTAAATTTATTTCAATAAATTTAATAATTTCATTCCTTTTTTTCATTTTCTTTCTTTCCTTTCAATTTTAGCAAACAACATGATAAAATCCATGGCAACATTAATTTCCTAATATAAATTTTTCGTAAAACATTTTAAACTTTAAGCATCATTATCAAAATCTCACTTAAATAGATATCTTTATTTGTGGACAAAAGACTACAAAAGTAAAAGAGAATTTTGTCAATAATTTTTAGTTTCAATGATAAGTATTCAAATTTTGATAATTTTAAATAAAAAAATTGAGTTTACTTTGATAGTATACCATGATTATACTATGATTGATATCTCTCGTCTTTAAAAATTTTTTTCCTTGTTATGCCTTTCATATTATAATTTAGTCTACTTATGCAAAAATTTATTATTTTATATATAATGTTGAAAATTTTAAATTTAAAAAAAAATTTTATATGATGAATACAATGTATTTAGTTAATAATTATGTTAATCGATTAATTATTTTTAGTTAAAATCAAATGAGCATAGAGCAACACAATAAATTTTTTGTTTATGAAAATTTAAAATTTTACCACCCCTCTATAAAAAAAACTTGTTCTTCTTAATCATACTTTAAAAATCCAAAAAAATTAAATTAGGTGAAAATCAGAAACAGTGACGCGATATAATTCATCTTATATCACTTCTTTATCAAAATTTCGAGTTAAATTTACTGAGAGGAAGACATAACAAAACTGTCACCGTCAGAAAAATATTTTAGCACATGAATATAAGCGCTAGACCCCCTGAGAGTCCAATGGAAACATGCCACGTGGAATGAATACTAGTGATATTTATTGAACCTTAAAAAAAAAAAAGAAAAAAATGTTGCTGTGAGTGATGACCAATCACTGAAAAGTGAAAAGAACAGGAAGCCATTATATTCGGGCCTTACTAGTTTGTTTTGTCTTTGGATCTCTTAGGGGGAACATTTGATTCTTCTTTTTGCCCAACACCAAACCAAAAACATACCCTTTTTTTTTTTTTTTTTCCAATCTTTTTCTCTCATTCAAAACCCCAAACCTTTAACCCCTTTTATTTGTCTTCTCAAGATCTATCAAAGGTAAACATAAATTCTTCACCTTTTCATCTTATCTATATAATTTACATTACAAAGATTTCATCTTTTAATATCCTTTTCCTTTTCCTTTTCCTTTTCCTTTCATGCTCCCTATGATTTCTCAGTTTGAAGGCTTCATATTAGTCTTAGGTTAAGTTTTGTCAATTAGGGTTTATCAATTTTTTGCCAATTCTTTCTTTGGAAAATTTCAATCTTGGAGCTTTTTTTTTTTTTTTTATGATTTTGAGAAATACGCGGATTAGTTTTTCAATGGATGAAACTGAAGAGAAGTTTGGTTTAGTTAGTAATGCTACAGAACTTTAGTAGCTGTTAGTGAACTGTCGTTGATTCTATGGCTTAACTCTTTTCACTCTTTTGTTTTATCACTATAATTTATATGGTATAAAAATGTGTCTTTTTCAGGTTTTTTTTTTTTTTTTTTTTTTTTTTCAATCCTGGAGCTTTAGTTTTGATGATTTTGAAAAATACCCAGATCAGTTATTGAATGGATGAAGCAAAAGAGGAGGGTGGTTCAGTGAGTATTGCTACAGAATCTTCCATAACTGTTAGTGAAACTGTGGTTGAGGCAATGGTTTGCGAGGGTCATATTCAGATTGAGGAAGGAGGGGAAGGGGGTCCTAGAAATGGAGATGATGTAATGGTGGAGGTTTTGGGTTCTCATGTTTATGTAGATGGTGTTTGTACTACTGATGGGGGAGATGGAGGTGTGATTGGGGCTGGTTCGAATGATGAAGCAGTTAATGGTCCCAATGAGTCCAGTGAAGTTGGTTTGGAGCGTAATTTGCAAAGCATAGATGGTGAAGGCGATGCAGCTGGTGAGTTGGGTTCAAGGAGTGAGGTTTCAGGTGGTAAAGCTGAGGCCCAGAATGAGGTAAATGGAGCTGCGGCTGAAGTTTCTGGTGCACCTGGTAGTTCTGCAGGTGGAGAAACTGGTGAGAATGCAAAACGTACTAGTGCAGTGGATGAACGTTGGGGAGATGCAAATCAAGCTTTGGAGACACAAAAAGTTGGTGATCTGGATGGTGATGAATTAAATCATGGAAACCAGAAAGCAGTTTTATTTTCTTCCGCTGTATCTGAAGATTCAAGTGTGCAAACTAAAGTTGTTGAGGTAGTTGCTATGGTTACCGATGGGGACAATTTGAATACTCTTGATGGTGCCTATGAAACCATATCTGACGCAACGAAGAAAACTGCTGATGTTGGTATTGATGCCAAATCCTTGCATGTGAAGACAAAGGATACTGCTGAAGATGTTCCCCATTCTGATACTAAAGGTATGAAAATTAGTGCTTTTGATCATAATTTGAAATTTCAAGTTGAAGAACAGCAATGAAGTTTGAGAGTGGGTGGTAGCACTGAAAACCTCTACAATATCCATGCAGATTCGGTTTATTCATGTCACTCACCTGAATTGGTTGTTGAAAGTCAATTGGAGGAGAAGGTACTTCCAAATTTTGATTAGGCCAACGGTTAAAAACTCATAAGTGCTTTAACCCAGCCTGGCTCATTATCTTTTGCAGGTTAATACAAACATGGAACTTGACAAGCAAGGTACTGATTCTGAGCAAAGTCAGATGGAAGTTAATACTCCTCACCAGGGCACCGACAAGCATGCAACAGGTGAAGTTGGAAGATTTGATTATGTATTCTTTTCTTAGTTTGAATTTTTTTGCTGGTTCCAACAATGTTGATTTGGGTAGGGTTTTATCTCCCTCAGGAAATGACCAAAGCATAAAGGCTGAGACAGTTATTAACAGAGGAGAGGAAATTGATTTAAGTATGGGGGAAGCTATGGATGTTCAAAAGCAGGTTTCTAATGCCAAAAATGTTGATTTTGATGCAGAGCAAGATGTTAAAGTTCAAGAAGAGCCTGTTAAAATTGAGACAATGGGTATTGGCATTGAAAATCACAGAAACGCATGTGAAGATTCAGAACTGTTGGGTCACCAAACAGATGTATTTGTTGGTAGTAAAGGAGGTGAAGCCTCAAAAGTTGATAATGACATTTCAAACCAAGTATCTCCCTATTTTGCTTCTGATAAGGTGTTTCATTCCTTGGGAAATGAGGATCAGGTAGGTAAGAAGGCAGCTTCTGAGGATGATTCAAGTGTAGGGCAATATATGAAAGCTGAAGAACAAGTTACTGGTGATGAACAGGATGGTTTAGACCAAGTGCAAGAAATGGAAGTTGAAGAACATGATACTGATTCTGAACAGCCAACCAACATCGATGAAAAGACTGTTAAACAAACAGCTCTAAAGTCTGCTAGTGCAGTAAAGGTCCATCAAGCTAAGTACCAGCTGCTGTCAGAGGAAGAAGGTGAATTTTCTGTTTCTGATTTAGTCTGGGGTAAGGTGAGGAGCCATCCCTGGTGGCCAGGACAGATCTTTGATCCTTCAGATGCTTCTGAGAAGGCAGTGAAGTATCATAAGAAGGATAGCTTTCTGGTAGCCTACTTTGGGGATCGAACATTTGCTTGGAATGAAGCATCTCTTTTGAAGCCATTTCGATCACATTTCTCGCAGATAGAGAAGCAGAGTAATTCAGAATCATTTCAGAATGCAGTCAATTGTGCTTTGGAAGAAGTCTCTAGACGGGCAGAGCTAGGTTTGGCTTGCTCTTGTATGCTGCAGGATGCCTATGCCAAGATAAAATTCCAAAAAGTTGAGAATACCGGAGTTCAGCAAGAATCAAGTATAAGAGATGGTGTTGATATATCTTTGAGTGCTAGTTCTTTTGAACCTGATAAATTAGTTGAATATATAAAAGCATTAGCAGAGTCTCCATCTGGTGGGGGTGATCGACTCGACCTTGTGATTGCTAAAGCTCAATTGTTGGCATTCAATCGTTTAAAAGGTTATCATCAGCTGCCTGAATTCCAACCTGGCAGAGGTTTAAGTGAAAATGAAGCAGATAACCCATATTCTGAAGAGAAAATGCAGTTTGACGAGGAAATTGAGTGTGCTACTCCTATGGATACAGATGTTGAGCAAATTTCCTCTGGCAAGGAGACATCAAAAACTCAGAGAAGCTATTACCTTAAACGGAAGCATAATCTGAAGGATGGGTTATATCCTAGTAAAAAGGAAAGAAGCTTGTCTGAGTTGATGGGTGAAACATTTGATTCGCCTGATGCTGAAAATGGATCTGATGGGATAGCTAATAAGCTCCTTTCATCATCATCTGGCAGGAAAAGAAAAGCTGTCAATTCCTTTGAGGACTCAGTGATGCAGGAAGGGAGGAAGACAATTTCTCTTGCCAAAGTGTCTCTAACCACATCTCATCTCCCAAAGCCTTCCTTCAAAATTGGTGAGTGTATTCGTAGAGCTGCTAGCCAAATGACTGGATCTCCTTTGATTCTAAAATCTAGTGGTGATAGGTTACAGAAGCTTGATGGAGGCGGTGAAAATCCTGCTGCAGATGGATATGATGTTCCTGTTGATAATTTTGAGGATGCCCAGCGAAAGAGGATGAATATTGCAACCGAATACTCATCAGTAGACGAGTTGTTATCACAACTTCATCTAGCAGCTTGCGATCCAATGAAAAGTTATAGTTCTTTTAATGTTATTGTTGGCTTCTTCTCTAATTTCAGAGATTCAGTGGTTCTGGATCAACTTCCTGGGCACAAAGCAGGTGGCAAAAGGAAGAAGTCACCCTATCCTTTTATTGGTTCTCCAGAAACTTTTGAGTTTGAGGACATGAATGATACTTATTGGACTGACAGAATAGTCCAAAATGGTTCTGAAGAGCACCCATCACATGGAAATGGAAGGGGACAATATCAAATTGTGCCTGTTTTATTAGAGAAACCGCTTCAAAAAGGCCGTAAGTCTCGAAAACGATATTCTGATGTCAATCATGATTTGACAGCACAGAAACCCCTGGATATGTTGATGAGAGGGCCCCAGCAGAACTTGTTATGAACTTCTCTGAGATTAATTCTGTTCCTTCAGAAACAAAACTAAATAAGATGTTCAAGCACTTTGGACCATTAAAGGAATCTGAGACAGAAGTTGATCGTGAAACCAGCCGTGCCAGAGTTGTTTTTAGAAGATCGTCTGATGCAGAAGTTGCCTATAATAGTGCTGGAAAGTTCAACATATTTGGGCCAGTGGCTGTAAATTATCAACTCAACTACACTATATCTCAATCATTCAAAGCTTCATTGTATGCTCCGACCCTAGCTGAGGAGAATCCACTCATTGCTTCAGCCCTATGTGGGGACCACGAGCTGGTTGCCTCTACCCTGGGTGAGGAAACTTCACTCATTGCCCCAAGCCTAGGTGAGGAAGATTCATTCATGGTTTCAACCCTTGGTGAGGAAACTTTACCCATTGCTATGAGTTTCCATGAGGAACCTTCACTCATAGGCTCAACCTTAGGTGAGGGCACTTTGGCCATTCCCTCATCCTTAGTCGATGGAACTTCAGTCATTACCACAACCATGTATGAGGAAACGTTGCCCATTTCCAGAACTTCAGTCATTACCACAACCATGTATGAGGAAACGTTGCCCATTTCCACAACCATGTACGAGGAAACGTTGCCCATTGCCACAACTGCAGGTGAGGGAACAATTGATATTGCTACAACTATTGGTGACCAAACTTTTATGGTTGCCACAACTATAGGTGAACAATCTTCAACAATTGTCACAACTGTTAGTGAGCAAACCTCGACGGTTGCTGCTACCTTGGTTGAAGAAGCTTCTCTCTTCACTGTGACCTTGAGCAAAGAAACTGCAACCATCGCCACAACATTGGGTGAGGAAACTTCAACAGTTAATGTAGGCTTGGGTGAGGAAACTTCAAGCATTGCTACCTTAGGTCAAGAAACCATTTCCACAACCTTGGTTGAAGAAACTCCTACCTATCCTGTGACCTTAACAGAAGAAACTCCTAGTATTTCCAGAACATTGGGCGAAGAAACTCCAGCCATTCCTACAACCTTCAGTAAAGAAACACCGGCCATCCCTCCAACCTTCAGTGAAGAAACTCCTATCATTCCCTCAACTTCCAGTGAAGAAACTCCTATCATTCCTCCAACCCTCAGCGAAGAAACTCCTATCATTCCTGCAACCTTGGGTGAGGAAACTCAGACCATTCCTATAACCATGGGTGAGGAAACTATGGCCATTCCTGCAACCTTGGGTGAGGAAACTACAATTGTCCCCACGACCTTGCATGAGGAAACTCTGGCTTTGCGGACAACTTTGGTTGAGGAAACTCCTACTATTACCGCTACATTGGGCGAGGAAACTCCCATCAATCCTACAACCTTGGGTGAGGAAACTACAACCAGTCTCACAACCTTGGGTGAGGAATCTTCGATTATTCCCACAATCTTGGCCGAGGAAACTTCAACTACTCCCTCAACCTTGGGTGAGGAAGCTTCAACTGTTCTCACAACTAATGGTGAGCAAACATCAACTGTTTCCACGACTACAGAAACGGAGACTTTGCCCCCTGCTGTGGCTGAAAACAAGGAATCTGCAACTTAATATCTCCACTGTCAAAATTTCCTGGAAATTTCAGGTATTGCTTTTCTTTTATATCTGCATGAAAGCTTTTAACTTGATGGTGTTAGAATTATGATAGTTATTCTCAGCTGGCTTTGCACTAACTATTATGTGAGACCATCTGAGAGTGGTTCGAGTGATTTCTTTCCATCTCTTACACTTAATTCATTTAGTGGATTAGTATGGTTTTGGCTTTTGGGTGCTTACAGGCAGAGAAGAGGTGTAAGGTATGAAATAACTAAAAATATATTACTCTCTATGCCACAACTAAGTGCAAATGGTAGAAGTAGGAGCAGCTGTTTTTTTTAACCTTTTGAGATCCCTAACTTTAGATCTCCGGGCTAGTTGGGATAAATGCTTTGATTTTTACCTCTTTTCAATATTTGAACAACCGTGAGGTGGGTGTTGATGGTTTATATTAGTTGTTCATCTTGACTCCATCTCAAATTTTTTTTTAAGGGCAGAAAGCTGCATGATTGATGCATCATGGGATTATACCAAATATAGTTAATTCAGTGTTCTAGTGGTGGTGTGAAGTTGGATAATAAACTCTCAATTGTGCTTAATGATTGGTGCTTTCCAATACTAATTCTTCTTTTTTATTTATCTGCCATAGTGTCTCCTACTGTCGTTTCTCTTATTATTCTTTTGAGGCAATTGATACAGGCGTGAAAACATCCTGAGGTTCTGATGTCAGTGTGACTCTGGTAGGGTTGATTCAACTTGCCATTGAAGAAAGAAGGCAACTAGACAGACAGCTCACATGGTGCAACTTAAATCTTTCTGCTCGGATTCTTTCTTTCTTGAATTACGCTATAAGCTGCATGGTATTGTACAAATGCTCCGGCTAGTGTAATATAATAGCCATTTTAGATGACCTTTTCATAGATGCTATCCTTGAGGACTAGGAGAATTTCGTTGTAGAATCAAGCTGCCTATCTATTATTCATGGCTGTTTATCATCGTGCATGTCTTACAACGGGTGATAAGTCATCGGTTATCAATTAAAAGATACGTGGATGTCAAGCCTTGGGCAGTCATTTTCTCCCACATCCTGCAGTCACCTATTTTTTTTTTTTTTTTTTTTAAAAGGAAAACCTTTCCCGCGGTTTCCCTTGTCTTCGTAATAGTATTTCTTCTATCTTTCCATGGTTCCATCTCTATCTTTCAAGTTTATAATGCTAAATCATTTTAGCTCACTTTTCCTTATTAATCTCATCGCCATTTGAAAATAATATAATCTATCATATAAATATATTATTTTCTCATATCATTGTTTTGGGCCAAACTTTTCTCACATCATTTTATACTAATTATGTAATTCAACAGTAAATTGCTATCACCAGTTAACAATTACTAAGTTAATAACTATAATATTCAAACTATATTAATTAATAATTTACCTTTTCTATCTGGACCCTACGTTTAAATGAATTTTATCATTTTTTTTTCTTTTTCCATATTCTAACCATGTAATGAGTGCAATAAAAGCTGGTCTTTCTTTAATGTGGAAAAGAAATTCAACAAATAATATAAGTTTTATGTTTCAGAATGATATGGCTAGAAGTAAATCAAATAGAAAAAATTAAAGCTAAAATATTTAATTTGTTGGTTTTATTTATTTATTTACTTATTTGTAAAGTATTTGTTTTGTTTTATTACATACGTGTCAGGCTGTGATTTGCCTTTAATATAACAATTAACTAAATCCGGTGACTTTATTATATTCCCATTTTAAGATAAAAATTAGAATCTTAATATCTTAATTCATGCATAAAACATCCGCTCTAATTATGCCACCGAATATTCAATTGATTAGTAATAATTACAATTAATTAGTCAAAATCTTCATTTTCTTAATTTTTTTAGTAAAGGTTTCCACTTTTCCCTCTCTTTCTTACTCTGTTTTTTTTTTTTTTTTTTTTTTCTCTTTTTTCTCTTTAAATACCTTCAAGGCAAGGAAAAAAAAAAAAGAAAAGAAAGAGAAATCTTGAAGAAGAAAATATCATCCAAAAGAAATATTTTGCATGAATTTCAATTCCCTGGTACGTTATTTCATCTGGGTTTTGGTTATATTCTTTGTTTGGATGTTGAGAAAAACAGAGGAAAGTTTTAACACTTTATTGAATTCTTTGTGATTTGTTGGTTCTTTCTTGGTTTCAAATGCTTGGCTTTTATTATTTTTCTGTAAAGAATAAATCTTTATGCTTGGCAGCCCATCATATTTTAAGGAAAGAATAAATTGATGATCTTCAATTTTTGGCAATTCCATTACAGAAAAGAAAAGAAATCAATTTGTTTTTTTTTTTTTTTTTTAATGATATCAGGATTGAATTTGATCAAATTATTTTGAAAATTTTAATTTCAAACCATCAAATTTGGAATGATGTTAGGTTTCAATCTGATTGATCTTTCCCTTCTGTTGTATATTTATTGACTACATGAATTTCTTAATGAGCAGAGGCTTCAAGGAACAGAGAGAAGATTGATATTGATGGTTTCAAGCTGATTGAGGCTGCAAAAGATGCGCATTGGCAAAGGGAACGAGAAAAAAGGCCGGATGGTTTCCAGTCCAAGTATGATCTGCGCAAGAGTTTGGCTTGGGACAGTGCCTTTTTCACAAATCCGGGTTGGTTTAAGCTTTTAAAATGACTGAAAAAATTCCAAATACTTTCAATATCATTATTGAGGATTTCCATCGTCATTCATGAGTCATATTGAATTGCCAGTTTATCATCAGGAAATTTTGTTTACGTTCTCAGGAGTTTTGGATCCTGAAGAGTTGTTTGAGGCTTTGAATATTCACGATGGAGACAATGGACTCAAGGAAGCAAGTGCTTTACCTTCTGACTCCTTGGCAGCAAGTAGAATTGGTGAGTGCATTGCCCGGAGAAGTTTAGCTTGGGATACTGCCTTTTTTACGAGTGCAGGTTTGCTTATTTACAAGTCTTGAAGCAATTTTGCCTCATCATATAGTTTTCCAGAGTTGATACTCAATTTTTACTGTTTTTTGGTTTCTTTTTCATGGTTAGGGGTATTGAATCATGAAGAGTTGTCTATGGTAAATAATGGGTACAAGAACTCTGAAACACTAACACATATACTTCCTGGAATTGAAGAATTCTTGAAATCTACTGAATCAAACTCTACAATGGATACTTATTACTCCTTGTCAAGTCTTGAGATTGATCTTTTTGATGATTTCAGAGCATCCATGCAACAATCAAGCTAAGCATCCAATTTAGTGAATTCAAGTTGCAAACTTCAAAGTCAAACAGGTCTACCAAATCCCCCTTGTAAGTATCTACTGGTTTGAAGATATATTCACTGGGAACTTAATGGAGGCAAATCATTCCTGTCAAGTTTGCAGGTTAATGCATTTTAGGCTTCTAGGTTTGATTGTAAAGTTGTGCTTCTTTCTTTATGCAAGTAACTTGTATACTAGAGGCTTAGTTAGGTTTAACAAGGCCAAATTTAATGACTCTAGTTAATCTCTTGTGGTTGATATGATTGTTTTATAAAATGAAATGGTTCTTGAATTTTTTTTCCTTGTGCTTATCAAGTCTGCTGCTTCTTGCAATTTCAGAAAGGCTGGATACTACTTCAATGAAGGTTTGTAGTTTTTTTTTTTGGGTGACAATTGACACTGTTTATGGTCTTTTTGAGACACATTTATTCCAAAATTTCAGATTAAACCATTGCCAGCTCCGAGAAGGCCAAAAATTAGCGCACATAGAGTAGGGAAGACAGCGAAAGAAGCCATCAATCCTCCACAAGCACAGGTATGTTCAATTCAGAATATTGATATAGATTTTCTTGGTACTAGATTTGTCATGTGTGCACCACAGCCATGTTTCATTTGAGATCTCAGTTCAAAGAGTGTTACATAAGCTGTACCTGAACTTTAAAGAGAAGCACCTGAGTTTCTGCTTCTCGTTTCTCTGTTAGTGCATGGCTGAGTTGTTATGAACTAGACTTTTGGATATGACTGACTTGACTTCAGTACTTACGGTAAAAAAGCATGCTACTCGAAGTCGAGAACCCGATTCAACATCTTCCCTTAAGCTGTTGAAGGCATTTAGCCAGGCCAACCCTCTCTCATCTGCTGCAACCAAAAGGGCTTCATTGGCTGCAAACCACATGAAAGTGAACAATAAAATCAGAAAAGATATATCTGGTAAAAACTTCCATAAATTTTGATTTTCTCAAAGAGGATTTATAGTTCATTTCTGCTTAAATAAAATTGTTTTTGGATTTTGTTTTGACGTCTATAGGACAAAATATGTCAAAGAAACCTTGCGTTGGTGACTCTGGTACACCATCTCCAGAACCAACTTCTTCACGTTTTCACATTGCCTCCAGAGATCTGTCAGGATCTGTTTGTGTCAGATTGCTTCAAATGATAAATCGCCAAAATCTCTGAGAAGAAACATTGATCTTGCTGCTACTGATTCAAATGTTAGGACTCCTTCAATATCTTTAAGCAGTCACAAAAGCAAACAGATAGATTCTTCTCAGCATACTGATTTACAATCCACACCGAAGCCCTCGAGCACATCACTTTCTAATTCCATTTATTGCTGGTCTTCTGAGTCCTCAGCTTCTGTGAATCATATATGTAATAACTTCACAGAAAGCCTGGGCATTGCCTTCAACAGAGGGGTTCCTGTCAACAATGGTGCTTCTCAAGGCTCGGACACCGAGAACTGTTCTAGTGATCAACCTTTTGATGGAAGTGGAAGCAAAGAAACAAGGTTTCCATGTCAAGATGTTGACAGATTCTCAAAGTGAAGTTGTCCTCTACCACCGACTGTTTCAAGAGAAACAAAACCTTCTGGCCTTCGACTAACGTCGCCAAAGATTGGATTTTTTTGATGTGGTTGGTTTCTTTATTTATTTGCTTGCTTTATTGCGCTGACTAGTGAGTATCTTTGAGTTTTACATCACATTCTTCCTGTTGAATATACATATATATATATATATATATTATTGACAGGAAAAGTGCGGTGAATTAACTCCAAACGGAGGTCTAAAGTTTCATTCTGGTGTGCAAAATACTTCTAAAAGTAGAAGTGGTGCGAATCATCTCAATGGCGCTCCGAATAGATCAAGGTGTTGTAAGCTTCAACAACCAAGAACATCAACGAGGACTGTGAGTATAAAGGAGAAAAAGCCGAGTTCTCTGCAAACTGGAACCCAAAGTTCCAGGGGTATCAAGCTTAATTGTGCGGCCCAGCTTGAAGGAGAAAAAACTTGTCAAGAATTTACATCTTCTGGGACCATTGGAAACTCTCCTGCTACAACTCTCTAGGTTGAGACTGATATATCCTGTGAGTCAAGTGATGGAAGTGGCTTGAAAACTGATGGTTTAGGATCATATTTAAAAGGAGAGAGCAACGGTAAAATTCAACCCGAAAGCATGGAATATGTCACCCAAATGGTTAAGAAGTCATCTCTGAATCAGATGAAGACATTAGTGAACTTAAACGTTATGACAAAGAAAATTTATTTAGTTTTGAGAATCAAGTCCATGTTTAACTAAGCAGATTGAGGCCATTGGTGTCATTGGGGATTTGGTGATAGAATTTTAAGCTGAAAAGAGTCGTTAATCATTCTAATTTTTAGTTTGATGTAAATCCTGCAAAACATGGCGCACTAGTCTATCTTCATCTTTCTTAGATGAGCCCCTTATATGGGAGGACTGTAGATTATCAGAAGTTTAACGGTTTAAATGTAAAAGATTTTAGCACATTGTAAAGGATGATTATCGATATATTTGAAGCACTGGAACCTATAGTCTTTCGAGTACAAGAATTTTAGCTAATAAATTTTTTAATTCAAAACAGATGATGATGTATGGCATAACAGTATAAGAGAATAGTATTGGAATTACTACAAAATTGGTTTGTTCATCATGTTTGCTGATGAGAAAATTACTAACATTGATGGTAAAAAGTTGTAGAATGCAAAGAAACAATACGGTTCTTAAACAACCTTGATAGGAAACAATCAATCATGCACCCTTTGCAATCAAATAACTGAAAGAATCAAATGTAGTTTCAAAAGCAAAGCAAGATCGGGACAGAAGCATGTCTTTGCAAACATGTTTAAAGAAAAAGAAAGCACGATCATGACAGAATCAAACTTTGCTACTCTCTACTGATAGCAACAAAACTCTCTCCATAAATTTGACATCAAGATCCCCAGCTTCCGAGGCTTTAATCCCGACATGGCTGAATTCCTTGGTATCAAGGTCACAAAGCAATAATTCTCCACTCTCAGATTCTACAAATACCTTACCATTCTTCCAAAACCCCAACATTCTTTCAACTTGTAAAATAGGATCAATCTTCGATAGTTTGGTTCAGTGCCCATCATCATTCAACACCCAAATCTCTTTACTTCTTTCATTTCTTTCTATCCTCTCAGTATCCCAGATAGAGATACGATCACCATGTATCGGAAGCAGCTTCCCATGTCCAGAAATAGGTGACTTTATCAGTTGAAAAACTTCAGTGGCCAAATGGAATGCAAGGACCTTATAGAGAAGCAAGCCTGAGTGAAGCAATTTGGACACCAGCCAGTAATAAACACCATTTACACATGCATTGTTGTAGTTGGGACAAATATGTAGGTCTTTAAAGAACTGAACATCTTTATCCTCTAACAATCTCCAAGAATCACTGCTCATCCTGTAAATGGCATGGTGACGTTCTCGCGTATTCTTCTCCCGATCGATATAGGTTACGATATAAATCACCTTATAATCATTGGACAAAGGATCCAACCCAAATCCAAGAATATGTAGAAAATTTTCTACCTTTGGCGGAATGTTTTGATTACATTCAGGGAGAATCCTAAAGTCTCTTGTGGCAGGATTCAATAAAGTTATGCGAGAATTGGTTCGATCAGGCAAACAAAATAAACCATTATAAACACAAACGCAAATCGTGATAAGAAACAAGGATTTGATAAGCAAACAAGCGCATAACAAACTCGTATTCGTTGTCAACGTCGTGGTAAGCAACAAGAAGATAGTTATTCTTTTTGCTAAGGCTAAGATGCTGAGAAACAAAACTGGGATTTTTAAAGAGATCGCACCAAGTTTTTGCCACACACTTGAAACGAATGATAGACTTTACAGGCAACTTCAAGAGAATCTCAGTCAATATGTCTGCAGGCCAATGCCCATTGCTCATTATTGCCATTCCAACTCTCTTCTTTCTCTGTATCTCAATCTTGTATCAAATCCCACACTGAAAATTGACAGAAAAAATATAATTTTTACAACCTAACCGGACAATGGTTTTTAGCAATCAGAACTGTCTAATCTTTCTATTGTTAACAATCAGAAAAGAATAAAAAAAACAAAAATTATAGAGATAAATAGACTTACAGTCAATTTGATCAAGCTTGGGTTAAGAACAATGGCTTTACAAGGTGTAAATAAAAGTAACACACGGGTTTAACATATAAATCAAAATATTCCCCCCCAAAAAATCCTTAATTCACAGATATTGAAGAAAAATAAATAAGAAGGGTAGGACACAGGTTGGACAATTTCACAAACAAATCTACACTGCCTGCGTGGATTGAGGGGAAGGGTGGAAAAGGAGAGTAATAAACCCTTATTAAGGAATCCTTTCATTTCTTCTTTCCTCTATCACTTATACGAGACTGTTCGCTACTTGCCGTACGTCAAACGTCAAAATTTTTTTAATTTTTATTTTTTATTTTATAATTTATACATTTATTTCTTTAAAAATTTTACTTAATTTTAAAAAAATCTAAAATATAAAATAAATAAAGATAACACGCAAATATTTAAATTGATTTTTTATCTCAAATTGATATACTATCGATTTTTTTATAAAAACATAAATATTGAATCCAGAAAGATAAAACTTATTATCATTCCTATCAATCTATTTATTTTATTGTAAAATCGATTTAACTAAAAAAATTTTAAAATTAAGAAAGAAAATAAATAAATGGAATATTATGTGGGAAACTTAATTAACATTATTTTTTTAATAAAATTTATTAAAATTAAATAAATAATAAAATATATATTTTTATATGTATCATGAAGTTATTTTAAACCTAAATTATCTTTTGATTTGTTCTATTTTTTTTATAAAAAAACAAATTTGACTTATTCGATTTTAATTTAAAAAAAACCTTAAAATTGACATATGATAGTCCATTGGACGTTACTAAAGTAAATTTTAAAAAAATAAAATCTAAAAAAACTTCATATTTTTAAAAAAATTAAAAAAGGTAAAAAAATTTATATAAATGGTTTCATACATAAAAAAAATAAAGTTTTTTAGAATATAAAATTATAAAATATAAATATTAAATATTTTTAAAAAATATTTATTAAATATTAAAAAAAAACTAAAAAAAGACAAATGGCAGGTTGAGGGAAGGGTCTGTGGACGTTAGATTTCAATCCAAACATGGTATTAATTAAAAGAAAGGAAACCCTTGTGCTTATGGGCCCAAAACTAAAACTCAGAGACTGTAATTCCGTACCAATAAATCCTATTTATAACACCAATTAATCTAGGCTGGCAGCTAAAATCAGTATTATAACCCTGTTTACAAACACCTTCCAGAGACTGCAACTAGGCAATTCCAAATCTACCTTTCATTCCAATATTTTAACTCCCTGTTTTTACAAAATCTGTTTGAACTTCAAACCAAGCCTCTTTCCCTGTTTTAAAGTTCATTGCTTTCGAGAGTTATGTATGTGAATGTTACTTGGTTGCAGATGAGAAATCCATGACCATCGTTAAATGAAGGAACAATTACTAGCTGAAACACTGTAACGACCATATTTGTTCTTATTAATCTATGATATATGATCAGAAATGTTTTTAGCTTTAAGATTCCAATTCAAACCCATGATCATGTATAAAGGTTTTGATTACATTATGGGAGAATGTGACAAAAGAAAAGAGGCAAATTTTGATTAACAAAGATTGGTTCCGTTTAGTGCACAAGGTAAAAGATTTTGCACTACAGTTTTCACGGTTTACAGGATAAGAGTCTCCAGTCGATGGGAAACCATATTAGAAATTTTCTTTTTTTTAATATTTTGGCATAAAAAGGTATTGCTTCTCAAGCATGAAACCAATCAGGAAGCTCAAGCCCAAGGCACAAAACCAGCACCCTGGATCAGTCAAGGCACTGAGAGATTCAAGCTGCAGCCATGTTATTACTCATCACATCATCTGCACAATAAGTTAAAAAGCATTCCAAGTAAGAATCCTGTCCTGTAAGCTATTTTAATTTCCATTTCTTCGAAGATCAATGTTCTTGTTCAGACATTTACAATTGAAAACATGTACCAGGAAAAAAAAGGTTATAACTGAAAACAAGTTGTTTAATAGAAAAATAGCATCAGAGAGTTAACCAATGAAGAGTAGACAAAAGATATAGAGCCTAATTGCATCGCACCACGTGTCTATGGTTAAGTTTTCAATCTTCAGAAATGATTTATTCAATATGACTTTTTATGCCAGGAATTTCTTAAAATGATAGAAAGCATAAAGTTGTAAAGGTATGTAGATGATCACCTTGAATAAGTCGCCAAACATCCCTTGAAGCAGATTTCTACACTGTACGCCATAGAACTTTTCTGCAATGCCATTTAGCAACTGAACCATCATGTTGTGTTAGAATCTGTTACATGTAAGCCTACTCTAAGCCAAAGAGAAGATAAAATCGATACATAAAGGCTACTTAGCAGATAAATGAAAACAGTTACATCCCCGTTATGAACTGAAAATAAAGTGGAAACTTGTTTTTCTAGCGAGGAAATAACAATCAGAATAACGTATTCTAATTGGCAAAATTGGTTGCCCACCTCATTGAATATAGGTTCTCTGTCTATGCTAGGCTTGTAATTCAGCCTCAACATATTAAAAAGACGCAAGGCATCTCTTTCCAACCTGCATGCAAACGAGTCTTCAGAACAATTTA